GTGGATTTGTTTCTCCAAAGTACCCAGACTAATACAGGCCTAGAAAGTAGGGTCTTTTGAGTCTTAAGCCCTCTCCCCATCTCTGTTCTTTCTCCCAGATTGTTTAAGGATGTACCACATGGAAAGTCAGCTTGCCCTGGAATCGGATGCTAGCACCAACCCGATTTGGGTGTGTCCGACACCCCTGAGACTCACGCTTTCTTGAACTGGGACCTCATACTTTTCCAGGATGGTGAATTGTTCGTGAATGGGGGGGATCTGGGCCTCCAGATTGGGCAGGTCATGTTGCAGAGTGTCCATGAGCTGCAAACTGATCCCCAGTTCCTCCAGCGTCTGGGGTGGATGGCTGATACTGAAGATGGGTAGAGATGCCCAGTCAGTGAAAAGGACGCACCCCTCCCCGGGTGTCCTGGCCACCCCTACTCCCCCGGCCACCAGACTGTGCTGGATGCCCCGTACTTCTCTGCGTTCTCCTTCAGATAGGTGTGCAGCTCCAGCAGGCGCCCAGCCGCCATCTCCCTGAGCAGCGTCGTGAACTTGTTCTGCCACTCGTTGCAGTGTTGCACCAGTGAGAATTTGAGGTGCGTGCAGTCCAGCAGCACAAACTGGATGTTGAGGACAGTCTCCTCCTTCTGCACATTATTGGCAACCTCCGTGTAGCTGTAAGGGACCCACATCCCCACTCAAGAAAGTCCAGTTGCTATCGAGTGGATTCTGATTCCTGGTGACCCTAACATATTCAGAGTAGACTTGTTCTCAAAGCTGGGTTGGGGGGAGTAGATCCCTTGGTCTTTCTCCCATAGCCCTTGTGGGGAGACTTGGACCTCCAACCCTTAGATTAGCAGCCAAGAGCATTAAACCTTGTCACCACGCAGGCACTGCACATCCACACACAGGACAGATACTTTTTCCCTTCTCAGACATCCCCATGGCCACCCACCAACTCAGTTCCAAGTCCTCGTTTCCTCTGCCCATTCCTAAGCAGCAGCTCTAAGTGGGTCTTCTAGTCTCCGGTACGTCTCATTTCTGCCCATCACAAGCACTACAGCTTGGACCGTATCATTGTACCAGCCACTGCCTGTGCACAAGATGTCAGTCAAACCTCTTAGGATTTACAGTCACATCAACCTGGGTTGGATTCACGCCCAAAGGCTACTTACTTACTAGCCCTGTGACCTCCGGCAAATTACTTAAATGTCCTGAGCCTCAGCCTCCTCACCTGAAGCATAATAACAATGATAGAACCTGCTTCGCCAGGTTGTTGAGAGAACTAAAATAGCCTGTACGCTTCCTTTCCGGTACCCATGTTCTAGAGGCCTCTCTACCTAGGGAACGTGCTCGTGTGCTCACCTCTTCAAGCCTTTGCCATGCTATGCTAGTCTCTCCATGTGGATCGATCGCCTTCCCAACTCCTCATCTCACCTGTTGAATGTCTACCCATTCTGTAAAGTTCTGCCCCCAAGTAACTTCATGAAGCCATTCCTAATGTCCTTAGCTAGATATTCCCTCTCCTTTTGACCTCCCCTGGCATCTTGTATAGCTTAATCATAGTAGTTAGCACATCGAAGTTTGTATAGTAAGTGCACTCATTAGCTCAGTACTTTCATACTTTACATAGTTGTTTCACATGCATTTAACAATATCACAACCGTATAATAATATCACAACCCTGTAAGTGTTATCATTTCAATTTCCCAGGAAATCGAGGCCCAGAGAATATAGGTTACCAACCTAAGATCACACAACTAGTCAGTGGGAGGGCTACGATTCCAGCCTATCTCTGGGCATCAAGGTCATTACTTTCCCAGTGATACTTGAGTCTTCCTGACCACTCTCTACAAGAAAGAACTTGTCCATGGCTATGTTTTATTCCCCATGGTCCATAGAACTAATGCTCGATGCCCGATGGTGAATGGATGTGTGGAAGAATGAACAAAGGACGAAAAGGTAGATGTTAGGATTTGGATTTAGGAGCACTTGATAATTTAACACGAAGCTGCCTTCTTAAAATTAAAGCATTCATTTCTTTCATGTTCCCGATACCCAGCGTTTCTTTTTATCCCAAACAAAGGCTCCCACTGCAGCTCCCATTCTCTCCTTAGAGGCTAGGACCTCCGTTCTGCGTATTCTCCTCCTCCTTCCCAATTCCCTAGGCCCAGATCTCCTCACATGCTCCACCTCTCAGAGATAGCGAGTCGCGTACGCTTCCACCGCTCCACGTACCGGGCAATGTCGGCATCAAAAGAAGAGACGGGAGGATTGAGGCGCTGGTAGCGACGAATGAAAGAGTCCTTGTTGATCTCCCAGATCTCCCGGTACATATCCCAGGTCTTGAGGTAATTCTGCAGCAGGCCTGCATTGGCAGTCATACCACCGCTGATCTGAGCCTGGATTTTCCGGATGTCCTCATCTCGCTCTGCAAGGCCACAGCAACACGAGACCCGGTTGACTCCCAGCCCCAGGAAGTAAAAGCAGAACTCTCAAGGTCTCTTCCATCGGATTCTGACCTCGCGCCTGCTGTTACCAAAGCCCTCTGATATACCAGAGCCCCAGTCCCACATTTCTTTCCGAATCTTAGACTCCCACTCTGAGCCCCAAATCCCTTGAGCCACAGTCACCTGATTTCAAACCATCATCTTGGGCCCCTGCCTTCTCCCTCAAGCTGGCCCTCAACTTGTGTTTCCACTCGTCAGGGAGATGATTGGCCGAGAAGAGCTCGGCACATTCCCAGTCTCTCCTCCTAGCGATGTCTCTGATAAGGATGTCTCTAGGATCTTGCCTCCTGGCCACTTACCCACAAGCATATGGATGGGATCACGATTATATTTGCGCTTGATGAGAATTTCAGGGAGGTGCCGGAAGACAGAGATGGTGGAGATTAGATGGCTGCCAATATCATTGACTATACCCGCCAAAGTCTTCAGAGTGGGTGAGAATTCCACCTGTGGAGAACACAGTGGGACAGGCCTTCGTGCAGGCTGTGAAGGAGCTGCGCCTCAGGAATGGGCCAGGCAGGACGCTTTAGAACAGAACCAGAGCTTTGAGACAAGCCCTAGAGGCCTGAGAGTCAAGGTCAGGGATCGAGGGAAACCGACAAATTCGAATGTAGGGAACAAAATGGTCCCCACCTGGGCCACCCCTCCCCGCAGGTCGTTCTGTAAAATGACGAGGACTCGGAAGAGCGGATTTGGGGTTGTTTTCCCATCTCCGTTGATGGCCTTGGACAGCTCCAACAGTGACCACTTCACGTTCAGGCGCAGGGCATCCTCTATCATGTGATCCAACCGGACGGTGTACAGCATCCACTGCTGCTGAATCTGGTGAGAAGGGGGAGACCAACGGTCTGGGAACGGAAAACCAGCCGACAGGGACAGGAACAAGGTGGTTACTTGGGGAGGCAGGGCTACTCGGGGAGGCAGGGCTTGGGTCCTGCAGGTGGTCTGAAAGGCCAGAGGGAGACTGCCCTGGAGAGAAAGCAGGCTATCTGGGAAGCACACGCTGGAGAAAAGGGGGAAATGAATAATCTGATGGTAGCTACCAGGGGCCAGGACCCCCTACCTCAGGACCATCATTCTTGAAGACCTCATAAGAGTTGGTCATGATGCCAATCACATCCTGGTACAGACTCATCAATTTCTGCTGCACAGTTGCTCGATGCTCCATTTGATCCTCCTCAAATTCCAGGTCCTGGTAGACCCGCTTGCCGCTAATTCGTACCAGCAGGGTCTCTGACATTGCTTGAGCGCGCCAGCCAATGGTCAGAGTGGACGCCTTGAACTCATTCACGATCGTCTGCACCTGGAGTCAGGAGCCCCCCCATGGAAAGTTTCCGTTTCAGAAGAAATCCCCTGGGCCTAATTCTACCCTCCCATCTGTCTTTCCGGCTCCCAAGGCAGTCCTTCGCCAAACACACCAAGTTTCTGTCCCACGCCTCTCAGGCTTTCCCATCTCTACCCAAAACTCGGATATTTATTGCCACACATCAGCTCGTTGTTTGGCCTTTCGCATCTCAGGTCTACGACCCACCTTGCTGGCATGGATGCGGCACTCTGTGATGAAGAAGGCACTGGCCCCCTTCAAGGCCCAGTGCAGCTTCTTAAGCCCAGGGTGGATCTTTTTATCCAAGAACCGGATGCGCTCTTTGAAGAGGGCCTGCTCATCTGGGGACAGCATGGCAATA